ACCACAGAGAAGGTAGCATTGATTCGAGAGCGCATTCTTACGGCGAAGAGTCGGCAAAAGAGCTATGCAAATCAGAGGAGACGGCCTTTAGAGTTCCAGGTCGGAGACTCAGTTATGTTGAAAGTATCACCGATGAAGGGCGTTCAGCGATTCGGTAGACGGGGGAAGCTTGCCCCGAGATATGTTAGTCCTTTTAGGATCATCGAGCGCACTGGAGCTGTTTCTTACAGGTTAGATCTTCCAGTATCGATGTCGAATATACACGATGTCTTTCATGTTTCGATGCTTAAGAAACATCTGTGGGATGATGAGCAACAGAGAGTGATTGATTCACCATAGATTGAGATTCAGGATGACTTGACTATCGTAGAGATTTCGGTATGCATACTTGCTAGAGAGAATAAAAATCTTAGGAATAAAGTCATTCCATTAATGAAAGTTCAGTGGAACCGGCAAGGAGCCGAAGAGATTTCTTTTGGGAGCACGAGGAGGATGTTCGTCGCGACTACCCACACCAATTTGGACATGTATGATGTTGCTAAATTGTTATGCTTATATGCTTTGATAGTAGTATTTGTCTATGTTGTTTAGCCACATTTATATTTATCTTTAACACTAGAATAGAGATATTGTCACCTGATCCTTAATCATTTGAAACATATGGTATATACATGAGGGTTTCCTTGTTTGGATTATTTCGCTCGACGTACCAATTTCGTTTAATTAGGGATTTAGGGAAGAAGGTTTGCATTCTAGGTTGTTAACTTTAAATATCATTGTGCTAATACTATGAGATGTGTGCAGAAGGAATTCTTAATATGAATTACACCTTCTTATTGTGTTTTCCCAGTTTTTAAGCTTTGAGATGCGATTGTGGAATTTCGATGACGAAATTCTTTTAAGGGGGGAAGAATGTAACACCCCGTAAATTTGAATATTTTATGATAAATACTGATAAATATGTTATATGGTGAAAAATAATATATTTTGATATTTGGATATGATAAGAATTAATTTAAGATCAATTCAATATATATTTGTGAAAATATGAGTGCAAATGCACAAAACATGCACAAATGCCATAAGAGTGAAAATCTGGGAATAATGACCAGTTATGAGTTTTTATATTTTGTACACCGATGCAGTTAGAATTTGGAAAAGTGTAAAAAACCAAAGTTGTTTTCCTACAAGTCTTATATCACCTCATTCCGAGGTCGGATGAGAAAGTTACAGCCAAAATACAGAAGGTTATTTTCCTAGTCAGACTAGGTTTCCTGGTTCGGGTCTAACAGGTTTGTTTCGGGTTTGCCTCTATAAATATTTGTATTTTTCACAAAAATTCCTTTTTTTATCATATCTAAGAACCCTAACAGCCACCAAACCCCCATAAACCCTATTTTGAATTCTTGGAGAAGATTGGAGGCTTTCAAGTTGGGTTTTTGTTGATTTTTGGCTTTTGGAGTGGAGATCTCCTTCGACGTTGCTTCTAACAAGTTTTCCTACAACCCCAGGCGAGTATCATCTCTACTAATCCCCCTTTCAGTTTTTAAATTATTTTTGAAGAGTTTTTAATGAGTTTTATAGAGCCTAATTAATTAATTTGTGTATAAAAATTGGATCTTTTGTATATATGTATAAAGACTAGGTCTTTTCATGTTAAAGAGATTAAGCACGAATTTACAGAAGTATTTTAAGATTTGAAAATAATTTAAAACATTGTTTATCTAAATTTAGATGTCTTATTCTTCGTTTTAAAGCTTCGTGCATGATTGAAGGTTTACATATGATTTCTTGTGCAAATAATCATGCTTGTTATGTTCTGCTGAAAATCTGCTGCACATATATACTATTGAACTAGAAATTTAAAATAACAAATAAAATCCAAATTGAACCAAACTAATGACAATTGAAAGATATGTGAATCTAATTTTCAAAACAGAAAACCATACCTAAAGATAGTTTTCCTAGAGAAAGATATGCTCAATTTACTGATGATATATGCTGCAGAAAATCTGCTGCACATATAAAATGTTTAACTGGAAATTAGAAATATCTTATGAACTCCAAACTGAACTAAATCAGTGTAAAATGATAGCTATGTGAGTCTAATTTCCAAAACGAAAAACTATTCTTAAAAAGAGTTTGTCCAGAAAAAGATATTCTCAATTTACTAATGATATATTCTGTAGAAAACTACAGATGTGCTGATTTGAAATAAATTGATATATTACGTAAAGGTTTCTTGAGTTTTGCTCTTGTTTGTTATTTTTGAGAGAGTTTCTCATCTTGTACTGTTATATTATAATGATTAAGAGTTGTTTAATACCTGGGATGATGGTGAACTTCAGATGTGGACATGCACACTAAGATTTGTGCATGTATGCTATATTGTGTTAGATTGACACACTTTTGACACGAGTTAAATTGATAAACACATATGAATAATGATGTTCTATATGTATTCGGAAATAGGAAGATGAAACCTATTTGCCGTAGAACGATTGAGTAAGAGTATTACAATAGTATCGTTATTACACGTATCCGAAAATAGGAAGATGAAACCTATTTGCCGCAGAACGATTGAGTAAGAGTATTACAATAGTATTGTTATTACATGTATCCGGAATAGGAAAATAATAAACCTATTACCGCAGAACGATTGAGTAAGAGTATTACAACAGTATCGTTATTATATGTATCTGGAATAGGAAAATAATAAACCCTATTGTCGCAGAGCGATTGAGTAACGAGCATTACAAAAGTATCACTATAGTACAAGATGATGTACACATAGATATTTTATCAGTTATAAGCTTTACTTCCATGATAGATTGCCCACGAGTAGGGTATTTCCTTTGAGATTTTGATGCACCCGTTATGAACGGCAGATATATTTATTTTAGTAATTGTTAATATCCTCTTATTATAGAGCAGGTCACTCGGACGTAGTTCGAGATGAGATGGTTTTTCTTTATGTTGAAGATTGAAGTATTTATCATTGATTAGTTATTTTTTATTCATAGAGGGTTATATGAATGATTTAATATATGTATGTACTGACCCTATTTTCTTATATACTCCTACCCCTTCCCCTGGGGAGAGGTAGTGATGACCTCGCTAGCGCTTTGACGTTCGTTGTTTTCCCCCCTTTCAGGCAGTGAGTCTGGCGTACGGAGAGTCGCAGATTGATGGGACTTCTTAGTTGTCTATTTAGTTACTTATCATATTTTGTAGTTATTGCAGAAATCCACATGTAGTTGATAAATTTCAGAATTTAGATTGGTATTTTGTTTCATAGAGTTGAGAGCTATTGTGAGACTTTGTTTATCACTAGTACAAAACTGGTCTGCCCAAACGGTTGGAACCGTTTGGGAAAACCCCCTCCCAAACGGTTACAACCGTTTGGGCAAGGAAAAACACCCGTTTGGGCTAAAGCCATTGGGGATAACTTTTCCCCAACGGTTGCCCAAACGGGTGTACCCGTTTGGATCTAGTCCCAAACGGTTGTACCCGTTTGGGACTTGTCCCAAACAGGTACACCCGTTTGGGACCGCGATATATGCCAAACGGGCAAGGAAAAACACCCGTTTGGGCTAAAGCCATTGGGGATAACTTTTCCCCAACGGTTGCCCAAACGGGTGTATCCGTTTGGATCTAGTCCCAAACGGTTGTACCCGTTTGGGACAAGTATTTAGCCAAACGATTAAAACCGTTTGGCCTATTAATTTTAATATTTTTTTCTATTTTAGCTATTTTATTTATTTACCTGCTTACATTTAATATACACATTTTACATAATGAACCAAAAACATATACATACACAAAAATATCTAAAGCGATGCTAAGTATTCAATACTATATATAAATACACAATAATTACTCAATATGCAATATATGAGATAAATGCACAATAATTACTCAATATCTCACAATGAAGAACATCCAATATTATATATTTGTCTCTAATATCCAAAATGTCTCATACATCCAAAATATAAGATAGGAATAGTCTGATTCATCCAATCAAGGAACAGAAGAAATTCCTCGAAGAATATCCTCTTGGGACAAACCCGAACGCCTTAAGTCTGCAAATATCCTAGCAATATTCTCATGTGACAAACCTTGAGCACTGGAACTAGAAGTGTTAGCAATCGAAGCAGGACGAGCAGAATGAGGTATATCGGTAGCGGGCTGATGAATTGGAGCCGGTCGCGTAAAAGCTGATGGATCACTACGAGTGGGAGCAGAACGAGCGCCCTGAGAATTAACCTATAAAATAGTAGCAATGTATGAGTGTATAATTGTCTGAGTGTTAAGTCTATGCGTATATTTACGTGTATAAGATGTATGCATATTTGTGCCAATGTACATGTGTATGCGAGAGTGCGTATGTACCATATTGTTAGTAATCAAGCGCATCTGAGACCTAAATTCCTCCCTAAGCTCCTCCCTAAGCTCCTCCCTGAGATTATCTATCTCAGCTACCCGAGCTCTAAGATCAGCCACCTCGCGACGTAGCTCCTGATTAGAAGTGTTGATTTCCGGTATGGAGGACGCCCTCAAGTAAGTCCGAGTGGCACCAATGCCCATGCCTCTTTCATAACCACCGTGATGCCCTCCGTGCAGGGAATCTAACATCTGGGTGAAACAAAGTGCATCGTCCTCTGTGGCTGAATCGACCCCTGATATTGTTGCCTCCTGGATGACTCGATTCTACACAATATAAAGTAGTCAACTGTAAGTCGATAATGCAAAAGTAGATATATTTAAGAAACAAATAAAAACAAAATAAAAGTATGTTTATAGCATAAAAGCAATTCTATCTTTGATATGGATGATTTACTAAAGGCAAGATACAAAAATAAACTAGAGTAAGGGCTCTAAGTTCAGGCTTATCCTTGTTTTCATGTCCTAGTCTTTGAACTTCCTAGCCTTTGAAGTTAAAACCTTTCAATTAATTACATGTAAATCACATTGTAGATACACAGCAGTTAAAACCATTAGCTGTGTATCTGCTGTAGATACACAGCAGTGTGTATCTGCTGTGTATCTGCAGATACACAGCAGATACACACTGCTGTGTATCTAGCTGTGTATCTGCTGTAGATACACAGCAGTGTGTATCTGCTGTGTATCTGCAGATACACAGCAGATACACAGCAGTGTATCTGCAGCAGATACACACTGCAGATACACAGCAGTGTGTATCTGCTGTGTATCTGCAGATACACATCAGTGTATATGCAGATACACAGCAGTGTATCTGCAGCGGATACTACTGTATTACATATGAAGGAAATCAATGAAAATCGATAGGATGAGGAAAGAAAATAAACTTATTATTGGCTGGACGTAATGTGTTTGTGAATTTTGGTGCACCTTCTAGTTATGTGACATTTTATCTTTTGCAATATTGTAGTTCTCACAGAGTCAAATAATAGGCCACCAGTTTGTGGATGCAATCTTACTGTGGTTTCTTTCTCTTGAGAGCAAGTCATGAGAAGAGCCACTAAAAAGAGTAGAGTTTTGAAGAAAGATCAGATGAAATTTGCACCAAAAAGAATATGACAAAGTGAAAGAATAAAAGAGAGACTTAATAGATGTGGCAAGGCATGCTTTGTTTAGAACGCGGACCTGTTTTCCTTTTCTCAACTTTTATATTTGGCAAGTGTGGCGAATCAACAGTTTATTTCACAGTGTGTCTCATTAGATGTGAACAATTACCTCATGTGTCCCATTAGCTGTGTATCTGCTGCAGATACACAGCAGTGTGTATCTGCTGTGTATCTGCAGATACACAGCAGTGTATCTGCACTGTGTATCTGCAG